TAATAGCCCCCACCAGTTTAATTTTCCTCAGTTTCGTACTGGGACTGTCTCTTATACACATCTAGATGTGTATAAGAGACAGGCCTACAGGTATTTAATATTGTTTCACCTCATAAAGAGACTTCACTGATAAAATCCCTGAATATCAGCCAACCTAGTATATGCTGGTAGGGTCACCCTCTACAAATACAATTAAAAATAAAGGAAAAAAATGATGTTCACGACTTCTGGGTACAACCATTTGTGCACTTCCACTTTAAAATAGTATAATTTATTGTTGGAAGGTTTAGACAGGGGTGGCTATGGGCAGGGGTGGCTTAGTACTGATTTTCAACTCAACGATAGAGAAGCAACATGCATGGATAAAGAGTTGAGCTGCTTTCTATCCAATCAAAATATTTTGATATCAATGAACTTATACTGTAAACTACACCTGCAGTCCTATTGACTGAAACAAGGTCTTGTGGAAAAAAATATATTGTTAGTCAAAAAGAGTGCTACTAATTTGATTAATTTAATTAAAATCAGAATGTACAGAAATACTGATATCGAAAAGTAAGTAAAGCTAAGTATGAAGATGTACTAAAACTAGTTGATTTAATCAGAAACAACAAACTGACTGCAGTTGTTACAAGTCCTGACTAATTCTGTCCATTCAATTATGAGGTCTTGCAAGTTCAAGTGTTATCTGATAACTTGTCTGAATCATTATCTAGCTGCAACTTCTATTTTTTAGTGACAATTTTGATAGAATAATTCAGAATCTGGATATTTCTTGGCATTATTTGTAGGCATATTATTTTTGTGATTGATGATTGACTGACTGATAGGTAAATAAACTCTAGAAAAAAAGCAGTGCTGAAACTGTCAAGCTTTTTTATTGGGTAAAGTTTATGCAATGAATGAACTAGTTTTAACGCAATGCAACGCAATGGCCGAGTGAATCATGTCAATGCTGGGGATTCTTCAAATATTGTTGAAATTGATTCCAATTTCAATTTCATTTCAAAAATGATGTTCCCCATCAACATATTAATATGTGCCCATTCAATGATGATCTGACCCTCTAATATTGATGTTTCCCTTCAACAAATTGATGTGTCAATCCAATATTACAATCTGATCATTCTATATTTTTGTGATGTTTCCTGTCACAATGGCATGCATTTCGATACTTGGAGTATGTATTATGCCTATACTATCTTATGTTAGTCCCTTCAACAAATAAATGTGTCCCTTCAATGATGATCTGATCCTCAAATATCTTGATGCTTCTGTCAACATGTTAAGGTCAGGGATGTCACCACGCTGCTCGGCGGTGGACGTTCCTGTCCAGTACTCAACATTTCCGACCAGGGCTTACAGGCTCCCGACCACCACTGTTATTTCAAAAGTTTACAAATTGTAACAAAATAATTAGTTTACCTAAACACAATAGACAAGCTAACCTGATAGATAAAGACAAGAAGAATACAGTACAATAAATGTTTCCTTAGTTACGTTAATTGTAACAAAATACCGCACTGCCCTGCTATTCATTGCTAACTTAACAGCCTAGGCTCAGTTGAGTCATAGCGAACGTAGTGGGCCGCGGCCGGCATGACACGGTTGCTGTACACATTCAAAGGTTAAAGTTAAAATCGTGACCATTCAAGTGTTTTATTATGACAGCATTGTCCGGGGCAGGAAGATTATTAAAAATTTACGACACCTGATTTATGTTTTATTTCTTTACTTTGTTTTCATTTTGTTAATGTTATTCTATATTGTCCATAATTGTTTTAAATTTTGTATTTTAAGTTTTTCACTTTTAATTATAATTGATATATATAATGTGTGTAAATGGACAAATAAATAAATGAGTGCACATGAATCAGTGACATACACATTCATCGTGGTAATCGTCAAACATGTGAAATTACAGCAAACAATGCGGAACAATGCGGATGGGTACATGAATAGCTTGTGAAGTTGACAGTCAGATCAACGCTTTGTCGCCGGGATTTGTTCATTATTATTTTTTAATCTAAAACAAAGCATGTCAACTATTGAATTTAATTAGGTCTACAGTAAGTCTCATCTTCATCTGTTTTGTTGCATTCCTCAAATTCTGGCCTAAGCCTACCTGGGCCTAGCCTAAAAAAATCACGTCAGCTAGCCTTGGGCCTAGGCCTGCTCGACTTAGGCCTTTTGGTTTTTAAGAGCTTTCACGAATGCGGCGACCCCCCCCCCCGGGAAAATGGGGGAGGGGGATGGCGACCACCCTCCTTTCCCAGAAAAACGCGGGATGATCGCCGACTGGGACTCCAAAAAGCTGGTGACATCCCTGTAAGGTGTCTCTTCAACAAATAAATGTGTCCCTTCAATGACAATATGACCCTCCAATACCTTGATGCTTCCCATTAACATGTTGTTTCTTCAACAAATTAGAATATGTCCCTTCAATGACGATCTGACCCTCCAATATGTTTTTCCTTGTTGACAGGTTAATGTGTCCCTTCAATATACAATATAAGCTGACCCTGTATGTTGATATTTCAATTCAAAATTTTATGTGTCCATTTAACAAATAATGTGTTTCTTATGATGACCCGACACCTAATATGTTGATGTTTCCCTTCAATATGTATGTGTCCCTTAAACATGTTAATGTCCATTCAACAAATCAATGTGTTGTTTCAATGATGACCTGACCTTTCAATATGTTGATGTTTCTTGTCAACATCTTAATGTGTCCCTTTCAACATGTAAATGTTTCTCTTCAACATGTTGACACATGATGTCAGTACTTCCAAGAATCATTCTGCCTTGGCACATTATGTTCCTGTTTGTTAGATGAGTCATGGAGAAGGCTCTTAAGCTAATCTATTCAATGGTAATTTTCCGAGCTCCAAATCTCTTACAAAATGATAATTTTGTGAACCACTATTGAGAAATGTCATGGAATATCAAACATATAATTTAAGTATCAGAAGTAGAAGTTATATTTTCAAATTTCCCTTCAGGATAAATTATAAATAAATAACCAGAGCCTTGCAGACGTCAACGTTCCTATGCATGATACACGACTTAAAAAGTATATAGGCCCTATATAATATACGTGTATATATATGTACTTATACATACATATATACGTATATATATATACACGTATATATATATACGTATACATGTATTTATATATATATATGTATAGACGCACGCGTTTAAATTGTAAGGAACTTACATGACAAGAGCCTTGCAGGCGTCAACGTTCCTATGCATGATACACGACTTAAAAAAATATATATTCCCTATATATATACGTGTATATATATGTACTTATACATACATATATACGTATATATATATACACGTATATATATATACGTATACATGTATTTATATATATATATGTATAGACGCACGCGTTTAAATTGTAAGGAACTTACATGACAAGAGCCTTGCAGGCGTCAACGTTCCTATGCATGATACACGACTTAAAAAAATATATATTCCCTATATATATACGTGTATATATATGTACTTATACATACATATATACGTATATATATATACACGTATATATATATACGTATACATGTATTTATATATATATATGTATAGACGCACGCGTTTAAATTGTAAGGAACTTACATGACAAGAGCCTTGCAGGCGTCAACGTTCCTATGCATGATACACGACTTAAAAAAATATATATTCCCTATATATATACGTGTATATATATGTACTTATACATACATATATACGTATATATATATACACGTATATATATATACGTATACATGTATTTATATATATATATGTATAGACGCACGCGTTTAAATTGTAAGGAACTTACATGACAAGAGCCTTGCAGGCGTCAACGTTCCTATGCATGATACACGACTTAAAAAAATATATATTCCCTATATATATACGTGTATATATATGTACTTATACATACATATATACGTATATATATATACACGTATATATATATACGTATACATGTATTTATATATATATATGTATAGACGCACGCGTTTAAATTGTAAGGAACTTACATGACAAGAGCCTTGCAGGCGTCAACGTTCCTATGCATGATACACGACTTAAAAAGTATATATGCCCTATATATATATATATACGTGTTTATATATATATATGTATATATATATATAAGTAAAACAGGAAAATCAGAGTTGCTGCATAGGCAAATATATATATAAAATAAAACTCGTAGAGATGGTAATAGATTTGCCTCAAAATTTATTAAGAAAATAGACGAGATCTTTCGGGCGTAACCCTTTATCAAGTCAGTGACTTGATAAAGGGTTACGCCCGAAAGATCTCGTCTATTTTCTTAATAAATTTTGAGGCAAATCTATTACCATCTCTACGAGTTTTATTTTATTTTATATATATATATATATATCAGTGTTCTCCGAAGCCATTTTAGCTGTCAATTTTGCCAGTAAAAATAACTGACAA